TGATTTAATTATGAAACAAACAATGACAAATAGCAATTTAGTATGGAAATCAGGGAGAAAATAAGCAGTTTAATATTTAATATGCTAAATGTCAAGTAGCAATTAATACACATAAATCAAATAGCATGTAACAATTATTGCAGGAATTCAAGAATTTATATTTGTCAAAGAATCGGAAAGAAATAATTATTAAAATAATTAATTCGTGCCTTAGAACAATTTATGATTTTCAAATAATTATGTAAATAATTAATTTGACGACGTATAGACACTTGTCACCTTGCCTATACGTCATTCACATGTATTTCACATAACAAATAATTTAAAGGTTCTATTACCTTAAGTGAAGGTTAACCACGGCACTTACCTCGCTTTGCAGATTCCAATAAATTATTCGACCACAGCTTTTCCTTTTGAATTTATCTCCAAAAGTGTCAAATCTATTCACAAACAATTCGATATACTCAATACGAATCATAGGAATTAATTCCATATGAATTTACTAATTTTCCGGATAACAATCTGAAATTCATTTAAATATTCAACAGTGGGACTCATGTCTCAAATCTCGGAAAAATTTACGAAATGCGAACACCCATTCCGAGATGAGACCAACCATACAAAAATTATCCAATTCCAATGTCAAATGGACCTTCAAATCTTAAATTTTTATTTTTGGACGATTTTATAAAAATCTGATTTTTCTCCCAAACTGTCATGGATTCATAACATAAATGAGTATGGAATTATGAAATATAATCAATATAGGATAAGGAACACTTATCCCAATATTTTCCCATGAAAATCGCCCAAGAATCGCCTTACCCGAGCTCAAAAATGGAAAAGGGTTGAAAATGGGACGAACCCCATTTTCCAGAACTTAATTTCCGTTTTTGGGATTTTTACCCTTCGCGAACGCGGTCAGTGCCTCGCGTTCGCAAAGCACAAATTTCTGCAGACCAATTTACTCTTCACGAACGCGAGGGCTACTTCACGAACGCGAAGTTTGCTGGCTTGGCCTTCGCGAACGCGAGATGCACTACGCGAACGCGAAGACAATTTCCTGGTTAGCCTCTTTCCCTTCGCGAACGCGAGGCTTCGATCGCGAACGCGAAGCTATGCATCTCAAGCCTTTGCGAACGAGTTCACTCTGTCATGAACGCAAAGCACAAAATGTGCCAGCCCCACTTTGCTCTTCGCAAATGCGAGACTCCCTTCGCGAACGCGAAGAAGGAAACCAGAAGCAGGTTTCTGCAGTTTCCTCAAGTCCAAAAATGATCCGTTAACCACCTGAAACCAACCCGAACCATCAGGGCTCCAAACCAAACATGCACCCAAGTCCTAAAACATCATACGAACATGCTCGCGCGATCAAATCGAAAAAATAACCCCTAGAACTATGAATCATACACCAAATCAAAGGAAGTTTTCAAGAAAACTTTAAAACTTATATTTTTACAAAATCACGTCAAATCAACTCCGATTCTCACCCAATCCGGCAGACAAGTCATAAATATTATAGTGGACCTATACTGGGCTCCGGAACAAAAATACGGACCCGGTGTCAATAAATCCAACATCAGTAAATTCTTAAAAATTATTAAGCTTTCAAACTTTTATTTTTTAATCAAAATTCCATATATCAGGCTAGGGACCTCGGATTTCGATTCCGGGCATACGCCCAAGTCCCAAATCACGATACAGACTACCAAAATTATCAAAACACTGATCTGAGTCCGTTTGCTCAAAAAGTTGACCAAAGTCAACTCAGTTGAGTTTTAAAGCTCTATTTCACATTTTAATCCATTTTTTCACACAAAAACTTTTTCGAAAATTATACGGACTGCGCACACAAGTTGAGGAATAATAAATAGTGCTTTTCGAGGTCTTAGAACACAGAATTACTTATTAAATTTAAAGATGGCATTTTGGGTCATCACATCCTGCACCTCTAGAACAAACGTTCGTCCTCGAACAGAGTTAGAAAAAGTACCTGAGCTGGAGAAAAGGTGTAGATATTTACTCTGCATGTCCGACTCGGACTCCTAGGTAGATTCCTCTACCGGCTGACCTCTCCAATGCACCCGAACCCGAACTAAAGGATAACTCTTAGACCTCAATTGTCGGACCTATCGGGCTAGTATAGCCACCGACTCCTCCTCGTAAGTCAAATCTTTGTCTAATTGGACTAAGATGAAATTTAACATATGGGATGGATCACCATGATATTTCTGGAGCATAGATATATGGAATACCGGATGAACCGCTGATAAACTAGGTGGTAATGCAAGCCTGTAGGCTACTTCACCCACCCTTTCAAGAATTTCAAAGGGTCCGATATACCTAGGGCTCAACTTGCCCTTTTTTCGAACCTCATTACACCTTTCATAGGTGAAACCTGAAGCAATATTCTTTCTCTAACCCGCGTGCCTAACTCACGTTGTACAGCCCTCCAGAAGTGTGAGGTAAACTGCATACCGTGAAGGTGAAAAATCTCACGAATGTAAATTTCAGCATACCGTTCTGAAGAATAGGTAACTGCCAACAGAATGAAATGTGCTAACTTGGTCAACCTGTCTACAATGACCCAAACTGCGTCAAATTTCTCTGAGTCCGTGGGAGCCCAACAAAAAAATCCATAGTGATATGCTCCCACTTCCACTCAGGAATTTCTAACTTCTGAAGCAAACCACCAGGTCTCTGATTCTCGTATTTAACTTGCTGACAGTTTAGACACCGGGCTACATATGCAACTATATCCTTCTTCATTTTCCTCCACCAATAATATTGCCGTAAATCTTGATACATTTTAGCGGTACCTGGATGAATAGAATACCTGGACCTGTGTGCCTCTTCAAGGATTAATTCACGAAGCCCGTCAACATTAGGCACACAAATATGACCCTGCATTCGCAGAACTCCATCTTCCCCCACAACAACCTGTTTAGCATCACCGTGCTGCACCATGTCCTTAAGGACAAGTAAATGAGGATAATCATATTGCCTCTCTTTTCTATGATAATATAAAGAAGACCAAGCGACTGTGCAAGCTAGAATCCGACTAGGTTCTGAAATATCTAACCTCACGAATTGATTAGCCGAAGTCTGAACATCTACAGCTAATGGTCTCTCACCGACCGGAATATACGCAAGACTGCCCATACTCACAACCTTTCTACTCAAAGCATCAGCCACCACATTGGCCTTTCCGGGGTGACACAAAATGGTGATATCATAGTCTTTCAACAACTCCAACCATATTCTATGCCTTGAATTAAAATCTTTTTGTTTGAACAGATACTAAAGGCTACGATGATCAATAAATACCTCACACGAGACACCGTAAAGGTAATGCCTCCAAATCTTCAGTGCATGAACAATGGCTGCCAATTCTAAGTCATGAATAGGATAATTCTTCTCGTGAACTTTCAACTATCGTGACGCATATGCAATTACCCTGCCATCTTGCATTAATACTACACCAAGCCCATTATGAGATACGTCACAATATACAGTATATGATCCTGAACCTGTGTATAATACCAACACTGGTGTCGTAGTCAAAGCAGTCTTGAGCTTCTGAAAGCTCAACTCACACTCGCCTGACCATCTGAATGGGACACCTTTCTGGGTCAGTCTGGTCAATGAGCTTTCTATAGATGAAAACCCTTTCACGAACTGACGATAATAACCTGCCAAACCCAGGAAACTCCGGATCTCTGTAACTGAAGTAGGTCTAGGCCAATTATGAACAGCCATTTTCTTAGGATCCAACTTTATGCCTTATGCCGATACAACATGCCCCAAAAGGCAACCGAGTTTAACCAAAACTCACATTTTAAAATTTTGATATATAACTGATTATTCTTCAAAGTATGAAGCACACTCTGAAGATGCTGCTCATGCTCCTCTCGACTGTTGGAGTAAATCAAGATATCATCAATGAATACAACCACAAAAAAATCCAAATAGGGCTTGAACACCCGATTCATCAAATCCATAAATGTTGCTGGGGCATTTGTCAACCCAAATGACATCACTAGGAATTCGTAATGCCCATACCGAGTCTGAAAAGCTATCTTAGGAACATCAGATGCCCTAATCTTCAATTGATGGTGACCAGACTTCAAATCAATCTTCAAAAATACCTTGGCACCCTGAAGCTGATCAAATAAGTCATCAATTCTTGGCAGTGAATATTTGTTTTTGATAGTGGCCTTATTCAACTACCGATAATCTATACACATCTGCATAGAACCATCTTTCTTCTTTACAAATAATAATGGTGCACCCCAGAGCGAGACACTAGGTCTAATGAATCCCTGATCAAGCAAGTCTTGTAACTGTTCCTTCAATTCTTTCAACTCCGACGGGGCCATACGATATGATGGAATAGAAATGGGCTGAGTGCCTGGAGCCAAATTAATACAGAAGTCAATATCCCTATCGGGTGGCATCCCCGGCAAATCTGCAAGAAATACTTCTTAAAATTCACGAAAAACTAGTACTGAGTCCATCGAAGGAACATCCGCACTGGGACCACGAATATAAGCCAAATAGGCTAGACACCCTTTCTCGACCATACACTGAGCTTTCATATAAGAATTAACCCTGCTGGTAGAATGACCAAGAGTTCCTTTCCACTATAACCGAGGTAACCCCGACATGGCTAGGGTAACTATCTTGGCATGACAATCCAATATAGCATGATAAGGGGACAACCAATCAATACCCAAGATGACATCATATTCTACCATATCAAGAAGTAGAAGATCCACACTGATAGGTTATATGTGTATCCCTATTATNCTATAGAGTTTGGTGGACCCTCGAATTCTATCAATTGGTATCAGAGGAGGTTCTTTCTATCAGGCTAACACCTAGAAAGGATCCTCATGGCTGCTCCACCAAACTTTGAAGAAGGTCAATCAACCTACAGACCACCACGATTTAATGGACAATACTATGGATAGTAGAAGACAATGATGCATGATTTTATCATGGCTGAAGAATCAGAACTTTGGAATGTCATCTGCGACGGTCCTTTTGGTCCTATGAAGACCATTAGAGAACCAAGAGTGTCAGTTCCTAAGACTAGGAAAGAATACAACGATGCTGACAGAAAGGTTATAGAGAAGACTTCCGAGCCAAAAAGATCCTCGTCTGTGGTATTGGACCAGACGAATATAACCAAATTTCTACCTGCCAATCTGCCAAGGAGATCTGGGAGGCTCTCCAAACTGCACACGAAGGGACTACTCAAGTCAAACAGTCGAAGATTAATATGCTAACCACTGAGTTTGAGCTATTCAGGATGAAGGACGATGAGTCAATTCAGGACATGCACACTCGCTTCACCTCTATCATCAATGAGCTTCACTCATTAGGGGAAATCATTACTAGAAACAAACTTGTCAAGAAAATACCTAGTGTATTACCTGGTTCCTGGGAAAGCAAGGTAAACGCCATCATAGAGGCAAAGAATTTGCAGAAGCTAACCATTGA